TAGACACGGGGTTTCACCATGTTGGCCAGGCTGGACTCAAACTCCTGATCTCAGGTGATCCGCTCGCCTCGGCCTCCCAAAGTGCTGGGATCACAGGTGTGAGCCACTGCGCCTGGCCTTCCTGAGGATTTTATAATTTTAGTGCTTACATTTAGGTCTATGATCCATTTTGAGTTAATTTTTGTGCACAGCATGAGGTCGGGGTCCAACTTCATTCTTTTGCACATGGATATCCAGTTGTCCCAGCACCATTTTCTGAAAAGACTATTTCTTCCCCCATTGAATTGTCTTGGCACCCTTGTCAAAAATCAACTGATGGCTGGTCTGAAGGCAGTGAGTTATCGCAATTGATTGTTCACAGTCACCTACAGATGGAACACCTCGTTCTACTCTTTCCCCCCTTCTCACTGCTGCACTTGAATTGTCTTTAAAAAAATCAGTTGACCATAAATGCAAGGATTTGTTTCTGGAGTCTCAACTTTACTGCATTGATCTGTATGCCTATCCTTATGCTAGTACCACACTGTCTTGATTACTGTAGCTTTGCAGTAAATTTGAATCAGGAAATGTGAGCCCTCCAATTTTGCTCTTCTCTTTCTAGATTGTTTTGGCTCTTCTAAAATACAAATACAAAACGCTTGTATTTCCTTATGAATTTCCTTATGAATTGGAGGACCAGCTTGTAAAAAGACAGGTGGGATTTTGATAGAGATTGTGAAGCTATAGATGAATTCGGGAGTTTTGCCATCTTAACAATATTATGTCTCCTGATCCATGACTGCAGGATATCTTTCCATTTAATTCAATATTCTTTGATTTCTTTCAAAAATATTTTGTATTTTTCAGTACACAAGTTTTACACTTCTTTTGCTAAAATTATTTCTAGGTATGTTCTTTTTGCCGATATTATAAATATTGTCTTCTTAATTTCGTTTTTGGATTGTTCATTGCTAGGGTATAGAAATAAAATTGATTTTTGTATATTGATCTTGTATCCTGCCACATTGCTATGCATGTTTATTAGTTTTAAAGTTTTTAGTGGATTTTCTATATATGATGTCATATAACCAGCAAATAGAAAGTTTTATGTCTTAGTCCCTTTGAGCTGCCACAACAGACTGCCATAAACCGAGTGACTTATAAACAACACAAATGTATTTCCCACAGTTCTGGAGACTGGGAAGTCCAAGATCAAGGCACCAGTAGGTTTGGTGTCTGGTCGGGGCCTACTTCTGGGTTCGCAGATAGCTGTCTTCTCACTGTGTCCGCCATAGTGAAAGGAAGGGGCCCAGGGTCTTTCTAAGGCTTCGTTTATAAGGACACTAATCCAATTTAGGAAGGCTCTGACCTCATAACCTAATCTCCCAAAGGCTTCACTTCCAAATGCCATCACCTGGGGAGTAAGAATTTCAACACTGGGGTGGGGCACAGATATTCAACATAGCATTTTACTTCTTCCTTTCTAATATGGGTGCCCTTAACATCTTTTTCTTACCTAATTGCCCTGCCAGAGCCTTCCGGACAGTGTTGAATGGTAGTGGGGAGTGTTCACCCCACGTTACTCCTGATCGCAGGGGAAGAGCTACCCGGCTTTCACCACTGAACACCACATTAGCTGGGGTATTTTTGTCAGTGCTCTTTATCAGGTGGAGGCAGGTCCTTTCCATTTCTAGTGAGTTCAATGCTTCTTTATGAGGGAAGAGTGTGAGCTTTTGTTTGGGTGATTCCCCTGCGTCTGTTGAGATGATCGTATGGTTTCAGTCCCTTATTCTATTGATATGGCGTATTTATTACCTTGGTTGCTTTTTGGGTGTTGATAATATCCAAACACTTCTGCCACCCCTTTTAATAGAAAGTTGTACAACTCCCCAACCTGCCTGTGCGTGTCTGCCCAACACGAGTGCCAGTGGCCGACTCCCTGCTAGAGTGAGCACTGCACAAATAGCCTCTGCTTGTCCTCATTTGAGTGATCTTCACGTATTCCACGAGAAATCAAGGCACAGGGGTCTCATGAATGGCTCCGCCAACCGAAGGTGTACTCCACTGGGGCTGTGAGTCACCTCACACCAGGGGGAAAGGTCTCTGTCAAACATGGCTTCAAGGAGCCAGGGACCTGGTGCCTCCCACAGGCCAGGCCCTGCCCCCCAAGTGCAATGGGAATATATGCACATGTTACCTGTCCCAAAATGCTGGGAGATGGTACTTCTGCAGATGGGGAATCTGAGCGACCAGCCTGAAGTCACAGGGACGGGAAGACTCCTACACAAGCCCAGCCGGGCTACAAACGCCTGCCCTTCCTCAACATGCCGCCGGCTGTGCCCACATTGCTCCAGCAGCTCCACCTTCCCCAGGCATAAGCCTTCTCAGGGGCAAGCCTGGGCAGGGCAGTCCCAGGGAGTGGTGCTCCCATCCCAGGCCGGGCTGCTGGGCAAGCCCCTCCTCTTTCTCCCCCTCATCCTCTGACAGAGTCCACCTGGATATTTGTCCTGGAGCCAGGAGGGAAGCTCCACCAGGCCCAGCCCACAACAGGAACCCTTTCAGATGCACTCCTGGGTGCCTACTGTCCCAGTATCACACAGACACAAGCCATGTCAGCCATGGGATCCCCAAGGTCCCCATGAGGTCACACCAGTGGGTCGCTGGGAAGGGCACTTCAGATGTGGTGCTCCCACAACCCAGGCCCTGCGAAGTGGTCCTCCTACCTCCTCGTAGCCAGTCCTCCCTGCGAGCCTGCAAGTGCCTGTGAACGTGAGTTCCACTCTGGAGCTGAGACAGGCTGCTGCCCCTGCAATCAGAAGTCAGGCCCATGAAGCCCTCCATCACCTCACTGCAGTCAGAATAAAATGCAGCCCTCCTCTGGCCTCCAGGTCCCAAGGCCAGCCCCCCTGCCTCCTAGGCTTGCACCTGCCCCTGACCTGTGTCAAGCCTCTTTCCCCTGGCTCTGTCCGCTCTGAGGCCCTTGCTTTGCTTGTGTTCCTCCAGCCTCACCGGTCTGCCTGGAGTGCTCCTCCCCGGCTCCGCCTGGCTGACTCCTTCTCAGGCATCAGGGCCTGGATCCATCATGGCTCTTCCAAGCCTCTGCACTTGGAGTGCCCCAGCCCCGTGGTTGAGAAGTGCCCCAACCCCGTGACCCTCTAGCAAGCATCCTAGGAATTCCCTCCCTCCCCAGCACTGATATGACCATCGTGCTGTGACACCTGTCATCTCCGCCAGAGCGGCAGGTCCTCAAGGAGAGGGGTCTGCTGCCTGGCTCCCACACCCAGGGCCTGGAACAGTGCCTGGCACACAGCAGGCACCCACTAAATATTTGATGCATGGCTGAAGAGGACAGGCATGCTGGCTGCTGGCCAGGCATGGCCTGCTTCTGAGGCTGGTGGTCAAGGACAGTGTGCACGGATCTGCCCCTCCTCCCACTTCCTGAAAGTGGAGTCAATGTCTCCCTCCACCCAACTCCCCCTGCTGAGGACACAGCCCACACCTTTAGCGGGAAATGTCCCCATCACTGGGGACAGCAGGGAGCTGATGGGAGAGCAGGTGTCCAGGACATCCAGAGAAATGTTTCCTCACACTGGAACCCTTGTCTATTCCCTTCTAAACAAAAAGAATCCTCAAAGACTCTCAAGTGACCATATAGTGTCTTTTCTTATAATGTCACTTTGACAGGCACAAAATGTAAAACCAGGCATAAATTCGTGCTTGTAGTTCTTATGCAGGCATGAAGCCAAAACCAGTTTACAAACTAACCACCCAGAAAACTGGTAGAGCACAGATGATTACAATAGAGCTGTTCTGTCCAATGTGAGCGCTACTGGCCACCCAGGGCCATGTGAATTTAAATTACAATGAAACACAATGAAAAATTCGGTTCCTTGTGGCCACATTTCCAGTACCCAGTAGTCATTTGTGCCAGGGGTTATCCAGCTACAGAACATTCCCATCATTGCAGAAGGTTCTATCAGTTAGCACTGGATTGGACGACATTTGCTAAGACGAGCTAGCTAGAGCACGGTTCTCCGGACCTGGTTCCACATGGTTCCCAGGTAAGCTCCCGCCCACGACGCAGCCCTGTTGTCCATCAATTTTCTTGGGGAGGACATGGGAAACCTTTGTCGGTGTGTCATCTCCTGCGAAGGCCTTCACTCCTTCCTCTGGGCAGGAAGCACCCCTCACTCTGAATCATTAGCCCAAAGCAGTAAGTGCAGCGGGCCTGGCCCCACACCTACAGGAAGAGCCACAGCGTGAGGCTGGCATCCCTGGGGCACGACACAACCAGGATGTGGATGAAATAGATGCAATATCTGGAGGTTCTCTTATAGGTGGCTCTGGCCTCCTGGACACTTCACACTGGTCTGGGAGCTGCCCTCTCAGGGCCCAGTGACCTTTTCAGATGCAGACTCCTGCAGCATGGGTCAGCAATTCTTCCCTTCCATGGGACAGGGATTGGTTGCCTGTACTTGAGGCCAACACTGACTAGGGGGCCTCATGCCTGCCCCCGTTCCAGCCCCGGAGAGCAATGTGAGCAAACCCTCCTGTCTCTGCAAAGCCAACCACTGTGGCATCACCTCCTTTAGGGAGCCCTCCCAGATTGTCCAAGGTGCTCACCTCCTTTGGGGAGCCTTCCCAGATTGTCCAAGGTGCTTGAGGGAGGGAGGAATAGGTTGTTCTCCCGGCACCGGGCCTGCACTCCTGGGCAGACGCTGCATGCCTGTCCTCAGGCGCGGCCCTGCTGCCACCCCCTCGGGGGCTCGGAGCGCGACAGCAGCTTAGGGACGCCTCCCGCGCCCAGCACGGTGCACCCGGGCCCTGAGGTCCTGGCCGAAACGCGCCAAGTTGGGGGTAGGTGCAGCGCCCCCATACCCCTCCGATGCGCGCCCTGGCGACGGGAGGCGGGGCCGGGGGCGGGGCGCGAGCTGGCCGGGGCGGGGCCTACGGGGGGCGGGACCGAGGCGTCCTATAAGTGGTGCTGAGCGGGGCGCGCGCCCGGCCACAGAGCGAGCGCGCAGCAGCGGAGATAGCGGCGACCCCACCGCGCATCCGGCCAGGCCTCCGGCGCCCCGCGCCCCCCGCGCCCCTGCGCCCCCGCGCCCCCGCGCCCGGTTCTTCGCACCGAGGCCCCTAGGCCCGCCAGGCCCCGCGCCGGCCCGCCCGCCTCCCAGGACCGGCCCGCGCCCCGCAGGCCGCCCGCCGCCCGCGTCGCCATGGGAGTGGAGGGGTGTACCAAGTGCATCAAGTACCTGCTCTTCGTCTTCAATTTCGTCTTCTGGGTAAGGGCTGGGCCGGGGGCCAGGGCGGGAGGGGACGGGCACACACCCCACCTCGGGCAGGTCCCGCGGCCGCGTGCTAGGCCCCGCGGGCGCAGCGCGGGCCGCGAAGTTGTGGGGCCACCTGTGGGCTCCAGGAGCGGGGTGGGGGGTCGCCCGGGGCCGCCGCGCCCCCCAACTTTGGGGCTGAGGGCTGCGAGCCGAGTTTCGGGGCCTCTGTGCGCGGGGGCCCAGCTCTGCGGCCGGGCCGGGGCTTCTGGGGGCCGCCGGGCAGTTCCCGCTAAGTGATAGTGATGGGTGCGGTGGGCGCGGGCCGTGACCCGAGTACCCGGCCGCCCCTCAGCTGAGGAGGGGCCTGCGCGGGTCCCTGGCCGCGGATTCCGGACTGCTGCTTCGCGGGGACGAAGGGGGGGCTCGCGGGCGGGACTCCTGGCGCCCCGCCCCCATGAGCTCATCAAGGGCCGCCGCCCCTGGATGGTGGGGCGGGGGCGCACACTTTGCCCGAGGTTGGGGGCGATCCGCCTCACTCTCTCCCCAGCCCAGCTAACTCGCCAGTCTGCTGTCACCACCCGGGACCTTCCCGGGGGTCGCGCCTAAAAGGACGTCACCGCTGGGATGGCCCAAAAGCTGGGGTGCGCGCACCCTGGCTGTCCTGTCTGGGGGCCGATCTCCCTCTCCTCACCCAGACACGTTCCAGCCTAGGCCTCCTCCCAGAAGGGCTCTGGAGGCCTTGCAGGAGTGGGGTCCCGCGGTTCTGAGTTGGCACAAGGAAGAGAGTGGCACCAGGGGCCTGGAGTGGATGGCAGGGTCTGGGAGTGGGGCCGCTGCTTTGGAAAGAGGGGCCCCCACGCTGGGCATCTTTGGGTGCCAACGTGGGTGGAGGAGGGTCTCCTGCTGAGAATGGCTTTCTCCTGACCGCAGTCTTTGCTGCTGGGAAGTGACTGATGGGCTTTCGCCTTTTGTTTCCATTTCCTGTCAGTGTTGGAATTGGGGAGGGGGTGGAAATCCCTTCTTGGCCTGGAAGGACTGGAGTGGGTGTCCATGATGGTGGCCTCCCCGCGGCCACGCCCCTGGGCAGACACTGCAAGCCCCTCCCCGTGTCCCCCCAGGCTGTCACCCCCTTCTCGTGGAAGACTCGGCTGATGTCCCAGTGGACCGAGTGTTTCTCAAGTTGAGGCAGGAGGGCAAACTTTTAAAATGGCCCCCGGAGCCAGTGTGTGGGACCAGAGACATCTGTTTCCCATCTGGACTGTGAGGATCCCAGTGCGGATCTGGGGCAGGGAGATTGTTTGGACGGGGAAGGACAGAGGCTGAACTGAACTCTCAGCTGGGAGAGGAGTGGGGCGGTCACATCCCACCTTCCCCAAGACCGACTGTTCTGCACAGTCTGCTTGGAACACTGGTGGGAGTCACTGTAGCCTTTGGCTCTGCCCTGGCAGTGGGGGCAGCGAGGCCATCTGGGAGGGGCTTGCCCTCCCCAGGCACAGCCCTGGCACCTCGGCCGTTGCTTAGTGGTGGCCTGCTTCAGCCCAGGCATGTGGGAGAGGCACGGGACACAGGATGTCCCTCTGCCGGCCCCTGGAGCCCCATCCCCTGATGAGGAGAGTGTGGGCCTGGGGGCGGGGGCTGAAGGGGAGTCAGGGAAGGGGACTTCTCTGGAGGTGGATTTTTGCTCTCTGGACGATGCGTCACCGCTGGGTCACCGCTGGGTGAGTCCCTCCTGCCTGCCCAGGCTGAGAGGTCTCCCTGGCAGTCCCCCGGGAGTGTCGCCACGGCGGGCCTGGAAGTTTCCCAGGCAGCTGGGGTGGAGACCTGACGCATCCCAGGGATGCTTGTTATTAAGGCTCGAGGAAATGTCTCCAAGGCCTCACCAGTCCTCTCCCCAGGGCCCGCTCCCCGCAAAGCATTGAGAACTGAGTCCGTTCACAGTCACTGTGGACCCACCCATCCACTGGGGCTCTGTTGTAGCCAGGAATGCCAGGCTGGGTGAGGTGAGGTTGGTGGGCACCACCCTGGTGGACCCCCCTCCACCGTGGTGTCGCAGGGTGTGTGGCTGAGAGCACAGTGCCATGGGCTTGGGCCTCCCTCAGTGGAGTCCCCACCACACTGCCCTGGTCCTGGGCCTTGGCCTCCCCCGTCTGCAGTGGGGGCCCTCAATGAGCCTGCCTCCTGGCGTTGTTGGTGGATGCACTGACATGCCTGAGTGTTGACAGGGGGCTTGGTACAGGAAGGGCTCAGGGTGTGGGGGTTGGCCAAGGGTCCAAAGGGACCCCTGCCTCAGAGAACCCAGCCCAGGCAGGCAGGATGTGCAGTGGGGAAGGGGCTGCAGGAACCCTGCAGGGCCCAGAGGGACTCAGTGCAGTCCCGTGGGCTCAGGGGAGGCTGGTGGGGAGGAGGTTGACAATGCGTGTCTGGATGGGGCGCTTGTTAAAAGTTCCATTTTAGAGAGGAAAAAGGCCTTGCCTGTGGGAGAAGGCAGCTGGGGTAGCCTGACCTCTTTCACAGAAAGGAGCCCCCCCACACACGCACAGGCACTCACACACACGAATGTGCACACACCCTCACTCCCACCTGCACACACACTCACACTCTTACTGTCTCACTTCCCGAGCCAAGGTGCGAGGGGGAGGTCCGGGCAGCGTGCACCTGCGCCCTGACCGCTTTGGGGGCCAATGAGAACTGGTCTCCCTGGGTGCGGGGCTGGCCCAAGCAGGGAAGATATTGCAGACACCCTGGCCAAGCAGCGTGGAAATCCTGTCCCTTGGGTGGGTCTGGGAGCCTCCATCAGAGGCGGCTGGCACCTGAGACCCACTGCTGCCAGGAGCAGGGCAAGAAAGCCTGTGTCCCGGGGCAGGGGCAGGGGACTGGCCCATGGGAGCCTTGCCTTCCTCTTCTGTGAAATGGATATAAGAGTCTTCTCCTCGGGGGCTGGCCAGGGAGCCCAGGAGAGGTGTCACCGGTCCCCGCAGGGAGAAGAGCTGTGTCTCCTGCCTGGGACTGGCTGCTCCCCCAACCGAATGCAGCTGGTGGCCACCTCCCAGTGGCAGGGCAGCCAAACCCGGCCGGGAAAGAGACTGATTAGAAGCCTCACTAACGGGTATTTCTCGCTTCCAGACAGCGCATGACTGTCACTTGGCAGGTCTGTTGCCGTCCTTCCGGGAGAGGGGCTGCAACCCTGGCAGGCGCTGTGGGGGAGGGGGGCTAGGACATCCTGTGCCTGGTTTCACCAAGTGGGCGTGTGGACTTTCCCTGGCTCTCCCAGGCTGTCTGACTGCACAGCTTTGGGGAAACGGTCACTGGGGCAAGCAGGCTGAGAAGAGGAAGTCTGTGGTTTGTCCCTGCTACAGAGTGGCCCCAGTGAGGCTGTCCAGAAGTGCAGGGCACAGAGCGAAAGCAAGGTGCAGGGCACAGAGCGAAAGCACAGAATGTGGGCCTACTTTCCTGGTCGCCCCTCTGGCTGGCTGTGTCTCTACCGCGTGCTGACAAGTCACCCACCCTCCCTGAGTGCACCAGGGTGCGTGCCCGAAAGCCCTCCATTCTTTCCTGGGTTTGAGGGTCCTTCTCCTACACCCGCCCCAGCGCCCAGTTCAGCTCAACTTTCAGTAATCTGGTTCACCCCCAATCCCTATCTCATAACTGCTTCCAAGCCCAGACAGGGAGACAGACCCCAAACGATCCCCTATTTCTATACCTGAAATCCCACCACGGGAAGAGCTTTGCTCATAGAGTCAGTAAGGCTTAGAGTCCAGGCACCTGTGCGAGGGAGCAGGTGGTCACCCTCATGCCGGCCGCGGATTGGAGAGGACCCTGGGGATGGGGTAGGGCTGGGAGGAGCCAGGTACCCTGCCCCTTGCTTGGGCCCCACCTCCCTGTGATCCCGGCTGGGCGCACCGTGGGTGCTGGGTGGTCTTCCACCCCTGCAGGTGTCTGACTTGTTCCCAGCACCCCTTTGGGCAAGAAGAACCAGGCTTACCCAGAAATGGGCTTCAGTGATCTCCACTTCCGAGTCGTCCCCACCTGCCTGGTAGGACGCAGTGGCACCTGGTATGCTGGGCAGCCTTCCAGGAACCTCTGGACTTACTCAGTGTTCCCCAGCCCTGCACACACATTCTTTGTGTTTCTGGGCCCAAACTAAGCCCCCCAACCTGGGCTGCAGAGCAGGTGCTGAATCATGAGAGACCCTTGAGGGTCCTCCAGGTAGGCCCCCAGTGCTGGAGGAGTCCCCTCAGGCAGGGGCCATGCCCAAGGGCATGGAAGGTCAGCTGGATCTCGCTTTCGGGGCTGTAGGCATCCTGTGCTAGCCACCAATGCCATGGCCTTAGGATGGCCAGAAGGCAGCTGCCCCCCACTCCCCACACGAGGTGTTTGAGGGCTGCGGGCTCAAGGAGGTGCGGTAGGGCTGGGGGGCCAGGGGCGCAGAGCTTGTAAGTGCCTCTCTCCCGGATGCGGGTGCCCCAGCAGGGGAGCTTCGAGAGTCCAGGTGTGAGATGCCAAATGCCAGGGGCCTGAGAGGAGGTTGCGTCCAGCTTGGCCAGAGGCTGGTGGCTCACGCCCCCACCCCGCCTTGCCCTTCTGTCTGGAGCTGTGCCCTCCCACTACGTTTGGAAAGTGATTGCTTCCCTCTTCCTCAGCCCCTTGGGCTCCCAGTTATGGAAGTGGTGCGATTCGGAGAAGGTAAAGGATGGGAGGGAGAGGGCTGAGTGATGGGGACCCCGCAGGGCGCCCTGTGCTGTGTTACATGGAGCTCCAGGATCAGGGCAGGCGGGCAGCCTGGGGTCCTCACTTCTGTTCCCAGCCAGACCAGGCCCCTCACAGCCTGCCAGGAGCATGATATCCAGTGCGGTGTAGAACTAACCTCAAAGCTCAACCCCAGGTAACAGCGTAGGTAAAACACATGACAGGGCATGAGGCTCACCCCAGGACAGGTGAAGGATCCAGGCTGATGGGGGCCCAGAACAGTCCTGATCCTGGACCTCCTTTCTGAGTGGGACCCCAGGGGTTTC